TATGCAAAAGGTGTTCGGCCCCCTTTCTTTGGCACCACAGAAAGGAGAATTCTACTGCCTGAGGGTTATAATCCCTAAGTGCGGCCGAAGGCGAACACCTTTCTGCGTAGGCGGCCTTCGGCCGCACTTAGGGATTATAACCCTCAGCGAAAGGAGCCACAGGGACAGTAAATACATATTTTCCATGGAAAGGTTTATATTTTTAATGCTGACTGGGTTATATCATATTTTCTTTTGTCTCTCATCCTTCTTGTATATTTAGCAGTTTGACAGCTAAACGCCACCATTTAATGTGCATATGCAACCAAAGGCAAACGCGTGGTTTTGAAGATGTTTTTATTTAATAAATTGTGATTGATAGATTAAAATTAAAGTAATAAAGAAAGTTGTAACAAGTCGAATAAAGTTTAAAGTGAAGGGGAATATAAAAATGCATTAGTGAAGTGGCTGCTTTAAGGAAAATAGGAGTGATAAATGTGAGCTATTTTCCGAATTTTACAAAAAAGGGCATATTTCAAACCCAATTTGTAAATAAATTAGTGACCAAAAATTACAATAGTGGATGTTAAAGTAATGGGTAGACCCTTGGCTACAAGTGTGTGCAATTTTTTTTTTGGATCGGGTCACCCCTTTGGACGCAATACCCCGAAATAGGTGGGCCACTTACTAAACCGTACCCGGGCCACGCACCACCCCTCCGCCGCCCACCCCAAAAACGTAAGGCAAATAATAACTAAACATTTCCCATTTATTCACCATTCGCAAGTGCTTGAATGAAGAATAATAATCATTTTAACAAAAATTTTTCTGATATTTCATACAACGTGCACTGTTTTATAAATACTACGCACTAATAAATATTTAGTGACTCATACACATACGCGCATTTAAACCCAAATAAAATTATAGTTTAAAAAACTAAAACCTCCCTATTATAATTGCCATTCGTACTGTCATCAGGTATGTAACTTGAGAATAGAAATCGCTGCATCTTTTAGGCACATCAATATTACATAGTTACATCCCGAGCTAATAAAAGGAAGGTAATAAAAAAAAGGAACAAATACAGTTTGGCTCCAAATCTCAAATTAGAAAAAAATATTGGAATCAATAGAGATGATTGAGCTGAGTATAACGGTATACTTCTTTTTTTAGGGAAACACCAACAACAACAATTACACTGGACCACAAATTTCAACTTTTTCTCTTTACCAGAAACGCCGTTATGAAATTCTTATGTAAAATCACCCCCTGATTCCGAAAATCAAGGTTATTTTTAATTCTATGGTACCGTTTTTGAGATATTTGCAATTTACCGTTTTTGCAAAAAAAAAAAA